GTGAATTACCTCTAAAATAGTCAAACTGTTGCATCATTTTTATATCATATCTGTTCACAGCACTATTTACAAAGACTTTTTCTGGGGGGGGAAATCCCAAAACCCCAAACCTGTCACCCATTATTCAAGTAGAGAGAGTTTTAAACAAAATATTTAGGCCACAGATAAGAGTTACAGTTTTAAATTTGAATTCCTTCAGGACTCTCGCAAGACTTCTCTACCTTTGCTCACGATGAATGTGGATGGGAAGAATCAGTATTTTAAATACAATGGACATTTTAATACCATTTCAAAATAACTTGCTCTCCTCCCCCCCCCCCCCCCCCCTTTTTTTTTTCTTCCTATTAAGTTGCTAGAGGCACATTTATTTGAGCAATCTTGTGGTGTTGGTGATATACTCTAACATTAATCAAGTACCAATTAAAAATAAATCCCTCTCAGAATCAAAGAATAAGAACAAGGACTTATCAAAGCAAGCTGCCTTACCAGACATACCATAATTTATTATACAACTGTCTAGAATTATTTTTTAGGTTATTTCAGATTTATTTATTTGCACTTTTTTCCTTTTTGGAATAACAAAATATGTTGGCATGCCCAATAATCAAACATAAGGTCAGACAACTGTATCTCTGGCAAAACCAAACTACACAAGTTCCTGGCATGAAATTACAGGCAAAAGCTAAAATTAGTCCAAATTAGCTTCTCCTTTTCTACCACATGACAAAACTTTGCAGATAAGGGTAATTAAATTTTCCATTTCATGGTATCACTTAATAGTCTGATTTGTTTTAAATTATCCATTGAACTGCACAGTTAAGGAATACACTGCTAGAAATCTGAAACTGTGCTTTTAGTTTCCTGACAGTCTTTAGGTTCCCTTACAACATCATGATTTTGAGAGTTGCAGGGCCTTTGTTATAATTTAAAAAAAAAATTGTTCGTTGGGATTATGAATGCTGCCAATCTTCAAAATAACTTGGTATCTTGCAAATGTCATTTTATCACAATAGAACTGTGCAAAATATATCGAAGTATTTGCAGGTATGCACCCACATTTTACAGAGAGTGCTATTTTGCAAAGTAGATATTATTATCTGTAGTCACCAACAGAACGGGGAGCATTTATTTCCAGCATTTCAATTTGGCTTAGGTAAAAGAAATGGCATAAAATATAAAGATTAGGACCATTCAGAAGATAGCTAAACAGGGTTGGTTTCAGTTTTGTTTTCCTGTGGCTCATCCCTGAATTTATGTGAACAGGGATTCATTTAACAGAACAGAATTCATTTCAAGGAACGTGGAGAAAAAGTGGGGTAATATAAAAGGCGTTTAATTTCACCAAAACATTCCTGGGTTTAAAGAGAAATTGTAGTACTGGAGCAGCCAACCTTTCAAAACTCACGTACGAAAATTTTCATCAGAAAAAGACTGTGATGTTTCTTTCTTAGGAAAAAAAAAAAAAAGAATTTTCACCCAGACTTGACAGGAATAATCCAAATCTCATTGTGACATGGAGCTGGCTGAGACAGCAATGACAGTTAATAAGGCTTTTTCAGAAAACTGGTGTTACTATGCACTAATCTGCTAGAACTGGGAAAGGACTTTGTCCAGTAGCAGAGTTCTGCCTTCACACAGTATATCTATACAAGTGCAAGTGTAAACTACTTCAGATCAGCCCCTGCTGATTTTTTGAATGAGACTTCCAACAACAATGGACGGTACAAAACTGTAATGAAAACCTCTCAGATTTACACAGCTCAATGAAAGAATGTAAATGCAACATCTATGTGAGGGTCCTCCACAATGCTGGCATGCAGTTGTCTTGTAATTCTTCAATACTCTTCTGGTTGTTATTGCCAGGTGAGGTGGTGAGATACCTGATGCATGCAAACCCCACTGGGTAAAGAACATGTTCTATTTGTTTGGGAGCTTTAAACTTTTTCTTTCCCCATTAATGATTTAGATACTTCCACAGGTTTGAAATATTACTGCTGTGAACAGCTTTGATTAGCTGGATGCAGCACAGCTACATCGACCTCCAACATGAACCTCTCATCTCATTCAGTGTATTAGCCGTGAGTCCTCAAAATCTCTTTAGATTTCCATTTTCAGATCAATGGTTGAGGATACTAAAAAAAAATTAATTACAGTAGTTTACTTGTTGCGCCTTTTGTTTTGACATATTCTAGATGTGGGAGCAATTTTACCTGTCATAAGGCAGTGCAAAGTAGATAGAAGCTGGTGTTCACCAATGAAACATTCACTTCTGAATGTGCTTAACTCAAGACGGTCAGATCACATACAAATGCAGCTCCAGCCTAGTGCTGTAGTATTCTGATTAAGTTAATGACAGGGTAATAAAGTTTCTAGCAGAAGTATCTAGTAGGTTTTTTTTTTTGATCTCCGAAATATATTCCTGTTGGCACTGGTCCTCTGCAAGCTCTTGCACTCAATTTCACTTCTACGGTTTGAAGATTGTAGCAATGATATCAACTCTCTTCCACTGCAGCATGCTCATTCTCAAGAAGCCATGCAACAGGAGGAAAAGAATTCAAGTCCTAGGAAAGTGATTGGAGGAAAAGAAGGTCTGTGCTGAAACCTGACTTAAAGACTTCAAGGTGGGGTGCACAGTGCAGATAATGGACATAAGCTTTTTTTAAAAAAAAAAAAAAGAAAAAGCTTTCTTCCTTGGGAAAGGAACTTAATGAATTCTCCTTTGAATATTTCCATTATCTTAGCAGGAGAAACAAAAAAAAGACTGTGTTCTCTGTGAAACTGAGTCACAAGAAGTGTAGCTTAACATACAGCAATTTCACATATTACGTGTCCAAAGATAATGTAAGGTATCTAACATTTATCAGTTATTTCCCTGGAATACATAATTTCAAAAACCAAGCTATGCATCTGCTGCATTAGATAGCCAAGTACTGTTCAATTTTGATGTTGACAATATTACAAAGCTTGAAGGCCATTAAATTAAGATCTTGCTGCTCTTCACTGGAATCAACTTGAAACAATGAATGCCTTTTCCTATGTGCAAAACAGCACATAGGAAAATTTGGCTGGGATAGAGTTAATTTTTTCCCTTAGCAGCTAGCATGGGGCTGTGTTTTGAATTTAGGATGAGAACAATGTTGATAACACAGGGATGTTTTTGTCACTGCTGAGCAGTGCTTACACAGAGCCAAGGCCTTTTCTGCTCCTCACACCACCCCACCAGCGAGCGGGCTGGGGGTGCACAGGGAGTTGAGACAGGACTCAGCCAGAACAGCTGACCACAACTGACCAAAGGATATTCCATAGCATATGATGTCATGCTCAGCATATAAGGGGCTGGGGGAAGAAGGAAGAGGGTGAACGTCCGGAGTGATGGCGTTCGTCTTCCCAAGTCACACTTACACATGCTGGAGCCCTGCTTTCCTGGGTATGGCTGAACACCTGCCTGCCCAGGGGAAGTGGTGAAGGAATTCCTTGTTTTGCTTTGCTCGTGTGTGGTGTTTGCTTTACCTATTAAACTGTCTTTACCTCAACCCGCAAGTTTTCTTGCTTTTACCCTTCAGATTCTCTCCCCCATCCCACCGTGGGTGAGTGAGTGAGAGGCTGCATGGGGCTCAGCTGCTGGCTGGGGTTAAACCACAACACTTAGTACCTAATGTCTCCTTAGGAAGATCAGCATATTAAGCTTAGCCAGAATACAAAGAGATGCAGCAGATTCTGCACTGTTAAGATTCCAGTTTGGTGCACTTTGGCGATCCTGAAGGACTTTAGGCTCCACTGCACAACGCAGCATTCAAAATTCAATAGGAAGATGAATTGGAAGAACAGTTCTTGTCTGTGATAGGAAAATAGCGACATCAGCCAACTGGTTGATTACACTGAAACTGGGTCAAAAACAATGCTTTAAACAAATGTTAGCCAGCATATAGGGCAGCTGGTTAAAACTGAAACAAGAATATAATCAAATCTGGGCAACAAAAGGTAGTTTTATGCCTAGCTAGTATTCAGTGGATAGCACTTACATCATTCTTTGGATCTACGTGGAGAGCTGTCTCAACTATTTTTTTTGTGACACTTGGGATAAAACTCTCAGTTGCATATGAAAAAGGTGTACCCTCCCCCAATTTGTAATAGATTTCACTGATCATGTGTTGATATCTCAATTTGTTAAGTTAAAGTTAAAGCAAAAGTGAAAAAATCGAAAGCCATAGATACAAAACTAAGGATCCCAAACATAGTATTATGCATTGTTAAAATTAATGATTTAATGTCGTGTAAGACAAACTGAATTTAGGCTAATTACTCGATGTTAAGGCTGAGATGCTATCACTACATCTCTTGTTAGGCAACAGGAAACCTCAATGCAGATAAACGTATAACTAGCAATAAAAAAAGAACTATAATTATATAATTAGTATATGCTGATGCTGTGTGAGGCACCTGACACTCTTCTGACTTAACGTGTGAATACCTAACTGGCTTAGTTTAATTTTTGAAGAGCATCACAGATGCAATCTCAATCTTTTGGACTAAACCTCCCTCATACCCAACACAAAAAACCACAGTGCTTTCTATTCCAGTCATGAATGCTTCTGGAGTAATGACAATATTAATCTGGGCACAAAGGAGGTTATATAATACACATTTATACAGAATAGTGTACGTTATACTCAAATGTTAAGTTTTATATATCTTATTTTGCTCGTCAATTGACAAAATTCTCTTGTATAGAAAAAGAAAAACCCCCAGCTTCTATTGAGAGAATTTGTGTATGCAAGGCTAGTAAGTTTAAACAAGACAGTGAATATAAAATTACCATCAAAGATAAACCATAATATTTAAAGTTGCAGCTGATTTCAAACATTCCTTTTGATGGATTCTTAGTACAGCAATTTTTTAGAAGTATGAACACTCCAAATCTCCTCTATTTATAGGGAAGTTTGTAACAGGTTCAATTGGAGACATCAAAAACATTTTAAATAGACATCACAAGATGCATCTGTAGTTTAAAGGTCAAATTTATTAGGAGATTAAGAGATGTATTATACATGGACTATAAATATAGCACAGCTGACTTTATTCACAGTCAGCCAGCCAATGCCAACCTATTTTGTAGACACCCTTGTTCTTTTGTTCCAAGAAAAATTTGCACCATAAGACTTGGATTTAGGTTTTGGAATCTTCTTCTCTTCAACGTCATAGCTCCAGCCTGGAGGTTACAGGGAAATGGTGGGGGGGAGACAAGAAACAAAGAGAATTCTAAATATTCTCAGCATACAATACAGAGCAAATGCAACTTAAAACTTTTAACTTTAATATCTTTTCCTCCATGTAGGCATGCAATAGTTTATTCCTTGGTAGTTGGCAGCAGAGAATACTGAAATGCCATAGATGTGACATGCCTGTTCTTCCAGTTGATAGGACTTCCCCGTACTATGTACCTCCATTTTCTTTACTTCTGCAAAAAACTTGACAGTCATCAGTGAAAAGTTCAACAGGAAACACTGACTGTCCTGCAAGTTCATGTCTCCACATCACTAGTCCACAGAGCACTACGGCTCTGTGCACACTGGGACAGGAAATCAAAATAAAGATAAAGAAATGTGGGAAAAAATAGCACTGAGAAGACCAATCCCAAAGGCTGGGAGAGAATGGAGACCTTGGAAAGCTACAGAAAAAAGAGGGGTGGGAAGACCAAAGAAAGGAAGAACAAAGAAAAAGCTTCAGCATTAGAAAGTAGTTTAATACTTAACATTTTTTAAGAACATAAAAAATTAGGAGTAAAAGAAAAGGCAATGAAATGATAGAAGACAAGTAAATTATGTGATAGTTAAGCAAGAGAAATGCTAAAAAATGTCAGAAAAGAGGAGGTGGAGACATTCGTGTTTATGTAAATCAAAATGCAAATTGGTTGCAGCCTCCAGGTGCCTGGAAATTTGCCAGGGCACCACTCAGTATTCCAAAGTTTGGTCTCTTTAGCTGCAACATTTCACTCAAAGTTGAGATACTTGAGTTGAAGCTAGAAGTTGTTAAGTATGCAGTTTTAACTGATACCAATAAGGCGATACATTTCTTCCTTAGTTTTAAAACGAACTTGATAAATCCTAAAAGGTTTAACATATATCTGAATTTTTTCATTTTAAGATGTTTACAGAAAACACTCAAGACACATCTACATACCAAAACATGTTTCATAAGATACACAAGTTGTCATGTCACTGTGCCTCAATTTTGCGTATTCACAAATGTCACACAAACATCTTCACGTTTATTAGGCTGAACCAATGTTAATTTCCAAGTTAATTTTTCTCCATAAGAAATAATGGAATATAGGTTTTAAAAACTTATTCTTTCCATCTGTGAGAGCACTGGTTTTGTCTCCTGTTCTAATTAAAAATATAAGCTTGAGCAAACAGCCAGAACTAGATCCAGTGACAGACTTTGGAATTGCAACATTCAGCAGTGTAACACCTAACTTGGAGGCACATGGCTGCTGGAATGGGATCTACAGCCCAAAGTTACCACTTCATCTTTTTATACACTAGATAGAAAGGTGCCGAGTGCCTCCAAAAGAGATTCACAACTGCCAGCACAATGACTTGGGCTGCCATAGCTATCAAAAATCCACAAAGTTAGTTACATCTTACTTTGGATTGTAAGATGCCACCATATGTGATAACGGTTCAACACTCTGGAAGAGTGTCCTTGAGTTAGGCATCTTCAGTTGTTCACAGCAGAGACCAGAAGTCACTTTTATAAAAATACCACAATGGTGAGGGAGGTAATTCTTGCCCAGAACCCTGCCATACAAGCCAAGTGGATATAAAGCAAGTTTCATCGCCTCTGGAAGAACACTCTTATCACCTGACTAAAGGTTATTGTGGAGTAGAAAAACTCTCCATCCTTGTTTCTAAAGCTGTATATTTTAAACAAGTGCCTCGGTGATGTCAGTCAGGACAAAAAAAGAGTTTAGGTCAACAGGCTAAACTTTTAAGTTCATCCAGTTACAAGTGTTTCCTCCCTCGCCTCAACTCCAGACCATCCTCAGCTGTCATATTTTGGACAGAGATCTCTCCCGTTAATGTATTCAGTGCAGTTATCCCTACATTAGAAAACACAAGAGATGGAGCAGGCAGAAAGGCAGCTGAACTTCTCAGATGAGAAAGAACTCTCAGGTTTCCCAATCATATCAATATATCTGGGATTTGCAGAAATTAAACTTGAGGTTTGTAAGGAATTTTGTAACGGAAAACTTGGGTGGTTCATATGCAAAGGACAGAGAGGTAAGTATTTGTGTTCCTGGACTTAAACATGTTTCAATAACACCTCAGTTTAGAAGCTAAGTTCCATTGTAAATGTGTGCCTAAGTTTCTCATTTCTTTCTAAAAGAATTAGTAAATATTGTAAAATTTATATTTCCAGCTACATCTGATACTGAAGCTATTACTACAGAAAACATTATGCACATATCATATGCATAAAACTAAGCCACCTTAAATAAAAATGGAGTAATAATTTAGGCTGAGATTATGGATACTGCTTACAGTACCATAATTCTGTGAGAAAATACAAGCCTAAATAACCAATTAAGTTTACAGATACAGTCCTCTTGATACATCATTAGCATTAAAAATATTAAGTAATGACACTGGCTTTTCTACTATTTCTTTCTCAAATAGGAACAATCATCAAGTGTTAAGTGTTCTAGACTTCAGTGTTGTACTCGGGAAGAGTTCAACCTAAACCTCAACCTAAAGCTTCCTCAAGGGGGGCAGCGGAGGGGAGGTGCTGATCTCCTCTCTCTGGTGACCAATGATAGGACATGAGGAGATGGAATGAAGTTGAGTCAGGGCAAGTTCAGATTGGACATTAGGAACAGGTTGTTCACTGAGAGGGTGGTCGGTCCCTGGAACAGGCTACCCAGGGAAGTGGTCACAGCACCAAGCCTGTCAGAGTTCAAGAAGTGTCCGGACAACACTCTTAGTCACATGGTTTACTTTTCGGTAGTCCTGTAAGGAGCAGGGAGTTGGACTTTATGATCTTGAAAGCTCCCTTCCAACGCAGAATCATAGAATGGTTTGGGTTGGAAGGGACCTCAAAGATCACCTAGTTCCAACCCCCCTG